TCCTTATTGTGTCTATTTGCATAGGTTTCAAGAATAAATTAGTCTTACTTGGGATGGTTATAGAAGGGCTTTGGTTGATGTGACCTTATGGCTAGTGCTTCTGATATCTTTTAAATAGTCAATTATCACAACAAATAGTTTTAGAAATAGCATCATTCAAGAAAGTGGGGGTCTTCTATGATAAGTAACAGATCTTGATATCATTTCTAAACCTAGTTTTAAATTGGTCAATTATCTGTTTATTATTTATTTAATGCTCGGTTATCTTGTATTAGATTATTGATAGTTTTTATATTGTTAAATAAAAAAAAATATATAATAAAATATACTGTAAACGCGTCAATTTTCATTCTTGCAATCAGAATTGAACTTGAAGTTTTTTTTATTTCAATATGATCTTAATAGAATTACCTATGATAGTAATATTTAAAAACTGGCTTATAAATAATGAAAATTATTCAATTTCTATATTAATTTATATACATTACTTTTAAACACATAATACGTAGAGTTTTAGTATCAAATTTGGCTTTAATGTATAATATTGCATTTGATAAAACATGTTTTATACTCACGGAAATATTTATATTAGTTAACGTTACTTTAAGAAATTAAATAATTAACATATATCTATATAAATTGATTTTTACTGGCTGATCATACTAGATAGAAACTATTTACCAAAATGAGTCATATTAAAATATCTATTGACTGACCCTTATAGCAGCTCAAAATAGTTATTGATTCCAATAATGTTTGAAAAGCAATTTTATTCGATTAGAGAAGAGATTATATATCACAGTTATTCAATTAGTGAATTGTTATTAATGGTATAAGACTTCAGTCAATATAAAAAAAAAATTATAAAATAGCATTGATTTGTAGAATAATTTTTTTAAAAAATAAATAGAAAATATTGCTATTTATAAATTTGTGAAATGTTTAAGAGATGTCAAGATTGAAAAAAAGTTCAAGAACTGACGATAGCCATATTCCAGGAAATCAAGAAGGAGCTTTAAGATATCTACTTAATTTTTCAGATTCTTTAATATCTTCTCAAGGTAAGAAATGACGATGTAAAATAAATAACCTTATAAAAGAGTGGATTAAAAGAGTAGATTAATAATTAACTTTCAACAGAAACAGAAGCTGATACTGAAGAAATTATTAGAATTAATCCCAAAGAAATAATTGAAGTAAATCAAGATATTGGAGAAAGGAACCATGCTAAACAGAATTCCAGAGAAATTGTCGAAAAGAGCTCTACAGGATCAGATCATAAAGTGCGGCAGAGTGAAAGACTAAAGAATATACGGAAGGTTAATTATGCTGAAAGCTCACGAAAAAAATTCAAAGCTATGTGAGTATATTATATTTTCGTTATTAAATAAAATGTATACAGTATTAATGCTTAATTTGTAAATAGCAATGAAAAAATTGGAATAACAGAAGAATTAACAGAATTGATAAATCAAAATGCTGAATTGAAAAATCAAATAAAGAAATTAAGAAAGGACTTTGAATTAATGAAATCTACTTTGGAAATTCTATTAAGACCAAACAACTCTTTGTCGAACTTAGAGACTCAAAAATTAATTGACGAAACATTTTTGAAACTCGATAAAGAGCTTAATAATATATAGCCGGTTAACAAATTCACAAATATCAAAGCTTATAATAATGCGATTGGTGAGAAATCATCAATTGAAAAGAATGCCTTTTTAAAATTTCTTATCTTTGTTTATCCAGACTTTGAAGCCTTTAATTATTAACAAATTTTAAAAATGATTAATAATTTGAAAAGCGACCTTAAGTCAACAGGATATTATTGGTGCTAGATCGATGAATTTGTTCTTGGACATAAATTTTTAAAAACAATTTCACAAGTAAAAAGTGGATTGAAAGAAATGAGAAATAGAAATTAGTTGTGATGGATTCATCACTGAAAAAGGTTTAGAAAATCATTCAATTGGTTCAAGAAATCCGCATTACAAATATGTAATGTATTCTCTTGCCAAGAGTTATGAAATAGAAGCCAAAATTATAATCAATTTAAATAAAATAAAATATTTGTTAGAAAAATCAGTCAACTTAGATAACAACTAGCTCATTACAAGCTTGGAATCATGTACAAAAATGAAAAATATAACGAATAAAGATCACGATAATGCATTGAAATATATAAAGCATTGAAATATTTAAACCAAATACATGAATTAGGTGAAATAGTTCTTTCGCATTTATTAATTCAATTAACAAGAAATAAATTTATATTTTTCTAAAGTAATCAATTTGCCAATTAACACAAATTCGATTTATTTTTCTTTTGTTTAAAAATACGACATACTTAAAGTTCGTAAAACCTACATATTTCAGATTAAAAAAATACTGCAGCATGTAACTTTATTGCTAACAAATATAACCCAGCTTATTCACGCAGCTTGCAATTCCTTCACCTTTGGCAAGTTCACGATTTCAGTTATTTGTTTCTGGGTTTATTTTACTCAGTCTCTTTATCGATCACAATGATAATGGCTAGAATAAAAATTGACTTGATTTCTTAGTTTCTTTATTTTTTTCGTTAACTCAAATGATACATGTGCCAACTTGCGAAAGATATAGATGTATGTAACTCTTGAATAATTGGGGTGGAACGGAGTGTAAAACCTTTCCATGGTATACTAATTGGGCTGGAGTGGAGAGAAAGACCTTTCTATGTCTACAATATTTGGGTCGATGTTCGGTTCTCTTCCTTGTAATAAGTCTTGATTTTGAGCAATCGTAACCCCTGTGAAAATTTAATCAGAAATTCGATCATAAAATTAAAATAGATGACCAGCATAATACATAAATTAATAGAATAGATAACTAGAGTAATAAAAACTCAAATAATAAAAAACGTAAAAGAATATATATGCCGAACAAAAGGCTGCAAGAAATGATGCTTAAAGAAAGAGTTTGGCTTCTATTACAGCTAAGTTGCTGAAAAAGGCAGGATCATCATAAACGTTAAAATAATATTGTTGGAAAAGAAAATACAGAGTAATGGTTATTTATATTCTCAAATTATAAAATACAACTATTTATATAATATTTTTTTTAGAATATCTGAATACAAGTGACTCTTAATATAAGAAAGACTAAATAAACTCCTGATATAAGAAAGTTTTTACTAAAATAATATGGATCCTGGTATGTAGAAAAAAAACGTATTATAAAAAAATTTTTTTAAATTTTTATTTGAATTTTTATTTGTATTATTTATGCAAAATAGTTTACAAATCGTAAAGTTTAACACTATCACAAATTGTATCAGACATAGGCAATAGAAAATTTGTTATAGGTTTTCGTAGCGATATCAAGAGTTCTGACTTCTCTTTAATAGTATATTTTTCTTTAGTGATTACAATAGTTGAAAGAAGGTACATGGTTATAGCAGAGATTGAGTACGTACTTTATAAATTAATAAATTGGGGTGGATGTCTACTTAAATGATGTATATTAATATAAGCATAAAAATATGCCATTTAAAATTAACAAATATATATTTTATTATTTTATTTATGTATATTTGTTATATTTAAACGCCTAATAAATCAGGCTCCAGCCCTATGAAATATCGCCGTTTTGCTAATGTCCAGCTCTCACCCTGTAATGACGAATTTCAGGATTAATTTTATGATTTGCCTTTTGAAACACCTATCCCATGTGATAAGAAATTATAGTTTATTGGTTGTGATTTGTATAACATATTTATTTAGATTAGCAAAAAAACTGATTATCAATTACGTAATATGAAGAATATGAAGAAAGAGCATGTCCAAAGTTATTTATTTTTTGTTAAGGAAAAACTGAAGCACCCTTATGATTTTCATATTTTTCTTGCTATTAAAAGTCAAATAAATCTGAACAAAAAGTATGAGACAATAGTTTCGGAAATTTTTTTGTTCTTTTCAAGGGAAGTTCATGACGTAGAAAAGAATGAAAAGAAAGAGAAAAGTATTAAACATATAAATAATGCTTGTATTATAATTTATATCCTTTATGTGATGAATATTTGATTGTATAGAGGACCGAAGGAATACACTGCCTTTATGGCCCTTCTTTCTAGAGGATATATAAATTCGAACTTCTCATTTCTTTAAGAACCCACCTGAAGGACTTGAAGAAATATAACTACCTTTATGGCTCTCTCTTCTAGAAGATATATTAATTCATATTGTTTTATTTTTATAGGAACTCTCCTTAATAAGTTTGGTGTCTGATAGAATTTAAAACTTTAATTAATAATAAATGCATCATATAAAATTTTAATTTGCTATTTTGTTTCTTTATTAGATGGATCTTAAAGTTTTTAAGCAATATTTATATGAAGCAAAAAAAGAACATAAATATGTTTAATACAGATTGCATGTAGTAGACTGTGTGCACGCGTTGGGTTGAAATGATCTTATTCAAAAAGATATTTATGACCATATGCTGGAACATCAAGCTAAGTATAATATACATAAAGTAAATATTTTTTTGACTACAGTTTCCAAATAATATAGATTTTCTAAATTAATTTTTTATTTTAAACTAGTTGCAATTTGAACAGAATGTG